TTGAGGGGGGGGAGGGAGGGCAGGGTTGGGGTATCTCTGTGTCCACTACTCCCATGGATCTGCCTATGCACATTACCCTTGTTTCATTACTTTTTCATGTCATTTTTTTAATCCCAAAAAATATTAAAAAAAAAAAAAAAAATCAACAAAGAAACAACAAAAAAACTTTAAAAAAAAAAAAAAAAGCAACAAACCATATCAACATGCAAATACTTGAATCCAGCAGGCCAATAACAAAATGTGAACACTTTCTAAGTTGAATTATTACACTTCCAGGTCAGCATCAGTACACAAAAAACAGGCTCTAAGAATTTTTTTTTTTAAAGAAGTTCAGACTCTATGTTTTTGTTGGGACAGATGTGAGTGTGAGTGTGTGTGTGTGTGTGTGTGTGTGTGTGCGTGTGAAGTTGTGTTTTTTTTTTTCCTTTGGTTCAGTATATGCTTTTTATTTGCTCATTGGTCAAATGTTTAATTGTTATTAGCTTCTAACTTTGCACTGAGTGTCCGCAGCCCTTCTTGTAGCTAATCCTGTAATGGTAAAAACACACAAAAAACAAAAAAAAGAAAAAAAAAAAAGGAAAAAAAAGAAAAAAAAGGAAAGAAACTGATAGAAGGGGCCGGCGACAATTCACGTGTAAATGTTTACTCAAGGACTCTTATTGCATTTTAAAAATTACAGTGTGTATCTCTGGAGAATAATATGTATATCTACCTTTAGCGGCTTTTTATTGTGGACTAATGCAAGAAAATTATTACCGGAGTATTGCACCATTTTTCCATTCGGAATATAAAGTTTAAAAAAAAAAAAACAAAAAAAAACTCTTGTTGAACTGTGGCCATAGATAATTGTAAAGAGTTGATAGTTCCCTTGCAAGCAGGAACAGAAACAAGCACTTGGACATAAGTTTTGACTGCTTTTGGAGGAGCCAGGAGTTTTGGCTCCCACCTGTTTACAGACCTTTTTTTCTCCTTCAAACTTTAAAATAAAAAAAGGAATTTAAAAAAAAAAAAAAAAAAAAAAAAAAAAAAAAAAAAAAAAAAAGACTTCCATCGTAAAGAAAACTATTTTCAGAATGAAGATATGCTACTTCAGAGCTCTGGGATTGAACAGTGTTGTTGTATTATCCTTTTCTTTGGCCATTGCTGTGTACTATTTTTGTTGTTGTTTTCCTCCTCTTCGTCAAAGTGGCGAAAACTTTGTGATCACTATCTTGCACATGGTGGAAGATGTCTCAGGAAAGCCGGGTTTCCCGAGGAGCAACTCCACACCATTTCATGTATTTTTAAAACCCAACTCCTAGCACTGAAGATATTATTAAAAAACAAAATAAAATAAAAAAAAAGACAGTAAGAAAGAAGAAAATACCTAATCTAATGTGTAGCAGTTACATATTTACCAAATAATGGACTCAAAAGAAATAGATGTTTGAAGAGTGCTTTATATATTAAAAAAAAATCGCTTTATGTTTAAAAAAAAAGATCAATGTTTTTGATTGTTTTGAAAGGAAGAAAGACAATGGAATAACATACACTTCAAGTATGTTTTAAAAATTATATGAACATTGTGCTCCCTGCCTGCTTGGATCAGGAAACTTGTGCATTACATTTTTTTCTTTTTTTTTTTTGGAAGATTAGCTTTTTAATGGTTTTATCAGATTTAAAGGGTCCTGCAAGATTGCAAATTAACAAAAGCTGGTTTTATAGAGGATCATGAACTATGCACAAACTGGGTTCAAGACTTGTTTGTTTTGTTTTTTTCTCAAGTTTTAGTAGTGTATTTAGCTGAATAACCTTTCCTCAGAGTAATTGCATCTCATTGCCATTACACGCCTCCTACATATATATTTTATATATAAATATACACACACACACTTATATAAAATATGTATGTGTGTATGTGCGTGTTTACATACAATTTTCCATGCTGAAGTTTAGCATTGAGTTGTAGAAAAACTCCTGATATTTTCAAATTGGGAATGAAAATTTCTGTTGGAGGGGTTGGGAGGGGGACGGGTGGGTTTTGTTTTTAGGGGCTTTTGGTTTTGGTTTTTTTGTTTTTTTTTTTGCCTTTCCTTTTGAATTAAAAGATGTCTGTAACTCTGAGATTAAAAAGAAAACCAACAATTGTGGCTTTTAATGTTTATTCTCCTCATAGAATGTGATTGTTAAAAGAACATGCACCGAAAGTTGCTTTCAAGAGTACGAAGATTCTTTGAAACTTAATAAATTGCAGTTTTTTCTTGGCTGTTGAAATAATGTGTATTTTTCTTTTACGCAGGGGATACTAAATATATATATATATATTGTTAAATCTGTGAAGGTATTTCATGGCAGGAGTTTAATTTTGATTGAGAATGCTGTGTACAGCCAGACAAACCCCCCCTGTTGTGGTCACCCCTCTGCTCTCTGCTGGTGATATTCATGAGCTTTTCCATCAACGCTTCCACATCTCATCCAGGAGCAGCAGAACCCATTTTTTGTGTTCAGATTCTGTTTTTTGTCATTTATCCATGTCTTTAGGTGAGTTTGTTACCCCCTCCAGCCAGGCTGGGGCTCCCCCAGCTGCACCCCAAAGTTCCACTGATGTTTGTGAGGTGAGCAATCGCCCCTCCGAAGGGGAGACACAGCAAAACGTGTTCATGTTTGGCCTTGCAGGGTTTGAGTTTAGGAAGATGTTCACCACTTGAAGGTTCTTTCACCCCGAAGATGCCAAGCTGAGGCACAGGGGGTGCAGGGCTGGGGGTTCATGGGGAGATCCCAGCCTTGCTCCATCCCTGGGTGTTCTCAAAGCTGCTGCTGGGGGTGATGCTCAGCAGGGCTGGCCCCAGGTCTCAGGGGGGTCAGTTTGTCCAGAGGAGCTCATTCCCCCAGTCCTTTTGGGAAGGAAAATCTGGCATGAGCAGCTGGATTACTGAGAGTTGTTCCCAGCCCTGAGCCACCACCCACAGTTCCTGGGATTGTCCATGAGCCACAATTCATAGGAAACACCCAGTGGGGCAGTCGGGTCTGAGTTGTGCTGGCAGATATGATACAATTTTAAATACTCAAATCCAGCTTTGGGGTAACTTCTGCTATGGAAACAGCAAAAATTCCCAGTCTGGAGCCTGTTCTGCCAATTTGATTGATCTGGCCCCAAAATCACACAGCTGTTTTTTACTGGAAGCTGCTTCCTCTCCCACCCTTTTTGTTCTTTTTTCTCTTCCAGGTGTTTGCAATGAAACTTAAAAGAAAGTTTTCCTTTTCCTTCTCTGATTCTTTTGTTTTGTTGGGCATTTTGTCCTTGGCAAGGAGGGCTTTCAGTTTTGTTGCCAAGACATTGAGGTCCCTTATGGAGTCAAATATTTTTTATTCTTCCATGAGGTTGGCAGCGACAACTCTTTGCAAATCAGATGCACTCTTAAAATTCAGAACCCTCCCCTGACACATTAAAGGAAATTTCAGCTTTTGGCCAAAATCAATCTTTTAGTGTCTGTGTAGCTCTTTTATTTTTTTCAGTGTCATTCTTCAATGCTATCCTGTATTTCTTAAATTGTAAAGAAAGCTCCCAATGGTCAGGATTCACCCTCTGGCTGCAGAATCTTTACAAGAAACCATTTTTAGCACTTTGTGTTTTCCTGTATATTGTGTTTGCTGTACCCTCCATGGCACCTTCACTGCATGGCTCCCTTTCTTTAGACCAAGAGAATTTCTCTTTCCTAAGTGGTCTGAAACTGTCAGATTTCTTAGTTCTTTGTCTAGTTTGTGGGTGGCACTGGCAGAGCAGATGTTTTGCTATTCTCCAAGAAATATATTATTGTTCTTGCTAATTCAATATATGATTGTGTATGTGAAGGAGCTTTTTAATTAAAAACAACAAAAAAATGTATATGGCTATCTGTATATGTTAAGAGTTACTGGAGTCAGAGGAGTCTGGAAATGGAATTGGAAGACATTTTAGGATTTGGGTTGTGGGCAGCTACAGCGTGGAGCTCACCTGTGCCAGAGGAGCTGAGGTGAGCTGAGCATCTCCTGCTATTGTACCTGAGCATCTCCTGCCATCATCACACCTGAGCATCCTCCTGCCATCATCACACCTGAGCATCTTCTGCCATCATCACACCTGAGCATCCCCTCACATCATCACACCTGAGCATCCCCTGCCATCATCACACCTGAGCATCCCCTCACATCATCACACCTGAGCATCCCCTGCCAT